CAAGCACTTGAAGCCTATGGAACATCTCTAGCACACTCTCATCATCCTTCATCTTGAAGCTTGCAAACTTCTCTTTGAGAATGTATGCCTTTGCACCCTTTACGGCTTGAGTGCCTTCAAAAGATTCTTCCAACTTCTTCCAAGCCTCATGAGCCATCTTAATATTCTTGATTTGCTCAAATGTTCTCTCATCAATTGCATCATGAATGGTACTTAGAGCAATGTCATTGTTTTGGAGAAGCACTTCTTCAGCCACGGTGGGATTCTCCGGATCCTCAATCTCAATTTTAGTTTCTACCACCTTCCACACTCTTCTATTGATTGACTTGATATGTGTGGTCATCTTTGATTTCCAATAAGGATAATTTGTGCCATCAAATTGGGGTGGCTTCTTGGTGTTGTTGATTTGAGCCATTTTTACACCGAAGGTTGTTAAGCCTCAAATCACGGTGACCTCGGCTTTGATACCACTTGAAAGGTCCTAATGGCTAGAGGGGGGGTGAATAGCCTAATAAAAATTTCTACAACAACACTTAACAAACTGGTTAGACAATTATAAGGCGAAGCAAGTGTTGCGCTAGTCTACTAAAATAGCAAGCCACCTACCACAATTCTAGTTGATATAGTTTCTATCCACACAATAGCTATGTCACTTCACTAAGTTAGTGAGCTCTCAAAGGCTAACTAAAGAGCCACACTAACCAAACTAACAAGCTCTCACAACTAGCTACACTAAAGAGCTTGACAACTAGTTTGCGGTAATGTAAAGAGAGTGAGCAAGATAGTTATACCGCCGTGTCGAGGAGTGAACCAATCAATCACAAGAATCAATATCAATGAAGACCAATCACCTCGGAATCAAATGATGAACATAATGATTTTTTACCGAGGTTCACTTGCTTGCCGGTAAGCTACTCCTCGTTGTGGTGATTCACTCACTTGGAGGTTCACGTGCTAATTGGCATCACACGCCAAACCCTCAATAGGGTGCCGCACAACCAACACAAGATGAGGATCACACAAGCCACGAGCAATTCACTAAAGTACCTTTTGGCTCTCCACCGGGGAAAGGTCAAGAACCCCTCAATCACCACGATCGGAGCCGGAGACAATCACCACCCTCCGCTCGACGATCCTCACTGCTCCAAGACGTCTAGGTGGCGGCAACCACCAAGAGTAACAAGCGAATCCCGTAGCGAAACACGAACACCAAGTGCCTCTAGATGCAAACATTCAAGCAATGCACTTGGATTCTCTCCCAATCTCACAAAGATGATGAATCAATGATGGAGATGAGTGGGAGGGCTTTGGCTAAGCTCACAAGGTTGCTATGTCAATGCAAATGGCCAAGAGAATGAGCTTGAGCCGGCCATGGGGCTTAAATAGAAGCCCCCATGAAATAGAGCCGTTGTACCCCTTCACTGGGCACAACGTGGGGTGACCGGACGCTGGACCTCAGCGTCCGGTCACGTGATGCACGCCATGTGTCCCTCTCTTCAAATGCTGTGCACCCGATCTCAACGGTCAGAAGACGACCGGACGCTGCAGCTAACAGTGACCGGACGTTGAACCCCCAACGTCCGGTCGTTTCCAGTAAGCTTCCAGTAACGATTTTTCCCGACCGGACATGTCCGGTCATGCTTGACCAGACACAGCCAGCGTCCGGTCACATGGTGTCTTCCTCTGTGCTGCCATGTCAGCATGACCGGACACAGCCTTCCAGCGTCTGGTCGCTGAGCAACCCAGCGTCCGGTCGTTTGACCGACGCCAGCGTCTTCGCTGTTATAACTGACCGGATGCGCTGGTTCCTCTGAGACCAGCGTCCGGTCACTTTGTGACCAGCGAGACCAACTCCTCTTCACTTCTATCTTCTTCACCCTTGCTCAAATGTGCCAACCACCAAGTGTATCACCTTGTGCACATGTGTTAGCATATTTTCACAAACATTTTCAAGGGTGTTATCACTCCACTAGATCCTAAATGCATGTGCAATGAGTTAGAGCATCTAGTGGCACTTTGATAACCGCATTCCGATACGAGTTTCACCCCTCTTAATAGTACGGCTACCAAACCTAAATGTGATCACACTCTCTAAGTGTCTTGATCATCAAAACAAAATAGCTCCTACCATTTATACCTTTGCCTTGAGCTTTTTGTTTTTCTCTTTCTTCTTTTCAAGTCCAAGCACTTGATCATCACCATGACATCACCATCATCATGTCATGATCTTCATTTGCTTCACCACTTGGAATGTGCTACCTATTTCATGATCACTTGATAAACTAGGTTATCACTTACGGTTTTATCAATTCACCAAAACCAAACGAGAGCTTTCACATGGGTCGCGCGCCCCTTCTTCCTCGACTTCGGCAACTTCGGTGAGTCCTGCTTCTTCCTCCTTCCTCAACTGTGGCGAACCCTGGCTCCTCTTCTCGTTCTTCTCACGTGCGGCACTCGTGACTCGTCCCACCGAGGACACCCCCGTCCGCGGTTTATCTAGGGGCGAAGCGAGCCCGGATCTTGGGCGAATATTCGCTCATGGGACGTCCTCGCCCCCAGTTGCCTCCGAACCAAACGGCTATCATCCCGGAGCCATCCCATCCCGTCCCTCCTCATCTCGCCCTTTACCACCACAACATCACAAGTTCGCAACAACAGATAACACCCTGCGCAGATTAGTCCCACCCTGCTGAGCGAAGAGCGAACCGGCGATGGCTGCCTAGGTAGGTTAAACTGGAAATCTCAATCAAAGGATTGGGAGAGCAGGAAAACTTATTTGTGCGGTTGTGCCTTGGCACAGAGCAAACGATAATAAAGGTTTCTTGGATAGCATCTCTAAGAGTTTCCTAAATCCCTTCCTAATCCTGGGTTTTTAGCAAGATAAGAAAAAACCTTCTCCAACAACTCCTAATCCATCCTCCTAATCTTTTAAAACTTGGAAAAATCACCCTGTTCCGCGTAAAGTTATACGCTTCCGAGTCGCGCGTATCTTCTCTCCCCGCGCGTGTTTATCGGCCAATCTAAAGGTGGAAGGGCACGGAAAGAATAAAGATTAGGAAAGGGTTCCTGATGCAAATGTACGAGAAAGAATATATAAAAGTGGTTAGGATAATTTAGAAATAGTATATGATTCCTGACGTAAAATTGTCTTTTATATTTTAGGAGTGAATTATTAGAAACTATTGGAGATAGCCTTCTTTATTTCTTCCAATACTTTTTTAGGAGTCGTAAAACTCCATGTTTTTAGGAAAAAAATATTGGGTACTCTTGGAGATGCTCTAAGATCTAATTGCTAGCTAGCTAAAATTAGTTTTTAAGAATAATAGATGAGATAATTTGTTAGTAAAGTATTTAACTAGTTGTTAATCAATTAGCTATCCAATTATAGCTAATTTAGGCCAATTTTTTGTCCTAAACCCTAACTGGGAGAAAACGTGAATAACCCGGGAGAAAACGACAAAACGGTCATGAAAACCATAAAATTGGTTTTGTTTGTATTCGTGTGTTTTCTCAACCGTTTTTGACGGAATTTAGGATTTTCTTGCCAAAAACCAAAATGATCGTGAAAAATCAGAAAAGGTGTCGGTTGGTACAGGAGATTTCTGTCCTGTTGTCATCCCTAGTTTTGTTAGCGTCAACTCTGATGATTTCTTTTCCTTCCTTGGGTCGTTCTCTTTTCTCATCTTGCGTAAGCTGTTTGTCCTCATTTCTATATCAGTTGTTTTTTATTCAACAATTTTTGTTCTAATAAATTTGCTTGGCAAATCTCGTGCTGAGCTTTTTTCTTCTAAAGATGGTCGGCTGATATGATCGCTACGACGGCTAGGTGCTAGCTAGACAGGGTAGGCAGACGCAGCTCGCATATCCTGGTAAGATAAAGATATCCCAGCTCATATCCGCGGTCGCTGTCTCCTAGGTTCCGTAATCCGAACGGACAGCCCCGTTGCAGTCGAGGTTGATGAGCGTGGCAGGTAAGCAGAGAAAGAAAGGCCAATTAACGACCCGTCCCTTCAACAATATATATTCTAGTTATTATTAGTAAATTACAATACAAACACTGGCAACTGAAACAAGGATATGTACACGTACGTCAAGACTAGAGGTGGAAAAAAATGAAAGGCGATGAGGATGCGAATGGAAAATCCCTTTACATATTGCGTGGTTTCGTTTCGACTGCCGAAACTAAAGATGGACGGCTTTACCTGCTTTAGTTTCTCTCCGCTTGGAGCAGTGGCATGTGCGTACGTTATCCCGCGGCCAAAAGCCCGACCTGGAGAGCCACTGGATTTGCCTCATTGCCAAAGCGAAAAAGGAGATACTAGAAAATACTAAATGCCCATCCATGCATGACCTAGCATCCATCCATTATTACTGTCTTTTGTCTTCTTTTTCTGCAGGCCGGGTAGCATTCGTTAAGTTGGCGGAAAGAAATATATTCGTGAAAGCGATGCACACTGTTGTCCGGAGATTAAACCTCCTCCTACTTGGACCTGCACTTAATTGTTTTAGTCCGGCATGGCCACGGAAGAACAGCTGTTTCTGTAGCTGACAAGTGGCAAGCATGGCCGACGTGGAGCTTACCACTAGTCGGTCAATGTTTCTGTCATATATCAGCTGTGAGCATCCGGTTTGGCACATGAACATGAGGGCACGAGATTGAAAGTTACGTTGGACGGTCGCATGTTCAAGCAACTAAATAATGCGCTACGAGTAGCCATCAGCTTACCGGTAAAGCAAATCCTTCTCTTGCAGACTAATGCAAAACATCTCCGTGCCATGCCCATCACACAAAGAAGAAATCTTTTGTTTTTCTTCTTCTTCTAAAAGAAAGAGGAACCAGAAGGTAACGAGGCCATATCTGGTCTGGTGTTTCCAAGCCCATATATACACCTGACCTTATGGCGTTGGCGACTCAGGCAGCCTACATCGGCACAGCATACCACCAGCAGGCTACCATCATCTCCCATCGCAACCATCGGCGATCGACGACGGCGGGACAGATGGACCGGAGGATATCCAAGGAGGAGGGCGAGGCGGTGAAGCCGACGAGGAGCTTCCGCTACGAGGACTACAGCACCAGGCGTGTGTTCCTGCGCAGCTACCCGCTGCAGTGGGACTGGTCGCCCGCGCAGGACGACGACGAGAAGGACAGCTTAAGCCCCGCGCACGCGGAGGCTGCCGCCGGGAACAGGGCGGATCATGCCGACGGCGACGAGTGCTGCGGCGGCAGCAGGCGGTGGAAGAGGCAGGTGGTGGCGGCCGTGACCGAGTGGGGGGAAGACAAGCTGCTGCTGCTCCGGAGGGCCAAGAAGCGCCTGGCGCTCTACCTGATCGGCTGCCACCACCACGGCCACGGCCGCCGCGCACTGCCCTTCCCGTCAGCCGGCGGATCCTGCACCGTCGCCATGCTCACCTCCAGATGATCGATCCATCACCGTGCACGCATGGCATGCATCATGTACTATGTGGTCGATGATCGATTCATCGGTCGGACCACGTCTTCCTCTCTTTGTATAGTGTACTACTCTGGTTGATTGGCGGCTGCGTGCGCTCCGAAATTGAATTAAAAATGCAATGTACTCATGCTACCAAAAACTTGATTATATACATACCACAGGTAAATAGGGTCTATAGCAGAGCTATTAAATTAAGAATTTTGCTCTGGCAGCCCTTCCAAAAAAGTTTGTACACAGCTTAAAGCAACTAAATACTAACTAAATCATTCATGATTTTACTCATGGGTCTAGTGTATGGGCCTCTAGATACACACCCTAAGCCCTACGCATGTCCACTCGATCTAATTATTTTGGATCCAATCCACTGCACTGCTATTTTCCTTGGTCATGTGTGATGTGCTGAGTGACGCTGAGCCAGCTGGCCGCCGCCTGTGTTGTACGGCATGCTCGCGCCTTGCCGCAGCGCCGGTATAGACTGCCTGGCCGCATGCCGTTTTTTTAAAAGTAATATTTTCTAATGAGTAATTGCCAATCTGGTGGATGTTTAAAATAAATTATAATTTTAGTATCCTATCGGCTGCGGAGGAGCCAATAAGACCCCTATTGGCAGTTGGAGGGCCAATTGAGTCCTGTCGGTAGCTCAAACGCCGCCTCGGCCCAACGGGTGCATAGAAACCCTTTTCATATCGGCCTTATTTTGTCCGGTAGTCATGTCGACCATCCAGTGGCCGACAGGATTTTATCGCCTGTGGATGGCCGACAGGTCCTAAAATATTTATGACCCATCTTCCTTCTCGCACCTCGTCTCTCTCGCATCTCTCTCCCTCTCTCCGCCGCCGCCTCCTGTTCCACGCACGAGAGAGAGATAGAGAGAGAGAGAGAGATTAGAGGTCACACGTGCGCCTTTGAAGGCGTGGTGGCCCGCCACCGCCGGCCCCATCTAGGCCACGCCGTGCCACCCGTATCTCCCCTACCGCCGCCCCGCATCACCTGCAGGTAAGGTTGTTCTACCTTTTTTGCATTGATTTGTAGTTAGATGTTTATTGTTGATTATGATTTGCACTTAGATATATTTAGTTTTTGGGTAATTTAGTCTTTGTTGATATTTCTTAATGACTATTGGAGGGTTCCACAAGCACATAGAACTATCGCGTAGCACTTCGCTCGGTGAGTACCGAGTGTCGAATTTATATTTATCCCACAGGAAGGCGGAAAGCTAGAATTTATATTTGGGCTAGGTGTTACTAGGTCTAAGTTGATCCTAGGTTGGTGAACGATAGTAAAGGGTTAATGTGAACTACCTAAACTAACTACTAAATACAAGCTACACTAGATATAGCTAGGTGGGAGAGCGAGCGATTTATCTTTCTAGTAACTAAGGTAAACAAATGACTAGGAGAAATGCGATAGTACTTTGGGGCACAACCCGCCTACCAACCCAATGATTTAATAACTAGACCTATCGTGGTGGAATACACAGGATGGACAAGGCTGTCACCACTTGCCACCTACCACAATCTATCCGAAGGCCTAGCCGTATCCACAGGTAATCTATAGCCTAAGCACCACGCTTAATCTATAGGCTTACGATTTCGATCCGAGCTCTGATGAAATGAGATCAAAGCACCCTAACCAGACGGTGGAACCGGTACTAACGAATAGTTACTAATTAAGAGATAATCTATGCTACTAATGTCAAACAATAAGCACCTAAGCTCACTAATGATGAACACTAATGACTAAATACTTAAGTAAAGTAAAGCAATAATACTAGAATAAAGTACTAAAATAAATACTGAATAAAAGTAAATGCTTAAATGAAAGAAGTACAAAGGTTTTATACCAGACCCAGAAGACTCTTTCGAACTCCAAGAGAAGCTCCGCTCTTGCTCTACTCCACTACTAGACTACTACTCTATAGCTAATGCTAAGCTAGAAAGCTAAGAGAAGCATGGAAATGAATGGGGCGTCTTTCCACCAAGCTCCACACCCTTTATTTATAGTGTAGAGAGGCATGGGGGTACTTGTAGGCAGCAGGGTTGTCAGTGGCCACAGGGGGGCTGGGCGGCTGCATAGGGGCGTCGGCTGACCCTTGGATGCACCGCCTTTGCATCGAAGGGTGCTGGTTGGTCCTCCAAGTCCGTTGTGAAGCCAACACATGGTGAAATTCGGCAGGTATGGTGGTTGGTAAGTTGGTGGAGGCTCCTAAGTCTATGACAATGGGCCCATGGATCCACCGTGAACAAATCTTGTTCGTTGATTAAACCGCCTTGAATGGAAGCTTGTGATTGGCTCTAGAGCGGCTCCCATGGATCAGTGACGTGGCAGGGCCACTTGGGGGGCCGGGCGGCGCCCATGTAGTGCCAGGCAGCGCTACCAAGAGGCCCTCGGCCTCCTGTCCCGTCTACTTGCTCCATATGTCCATGTTTGTCACCATTTTGGCCTATTTTTGCCATATTTCCTGCATATAAATAATTTCTACAAGCACAAGTGGAAATAGGTGAATTATAAATAAAATTCTTCACATGTGATGATGATTTACCTCACTTTGCCATGCTTTTGGGTGGAATGTTGATGGTCAAAACGGGTGTTAGTGACCGTCAACAAGCTCCCCCAAGCTACCCCTTTGCTGTCCTCAGCAAAGATGCGGGTTTAGCATGGAATAGGTGTTGGATCAGGAGTTGCTACTATGTAACACCCTACAAAGACTTGTATACAAACAAATACTATCTCTTGAGTTGAACATGTTAGTACTTAGAAATTTCACCATCAGTCTTAGCAACGTTGGACTTATAGCTTTCACCTTGACACAAGCAATTACAAGAATGTGTAGCTAGATAGATAGTTTTTGCCTACTTCGATTTAGCTCAAACTTCCTGAAGGTGGTACACTCAAGTCACTCAATGGTGTTTAAAATCCTCACCAAGGCCATAAATTTTAGCCTCAATTTCTATCCTAAAGCTTATGTGGAGCTCAAGGTAGGGGGGTAAAAGCATAGCTTACTTGAATTGAATATATTGCTAAGTCAAACACTTGGATCATAAGGAGCAACAAATCATACAAATTGATCAAGATGTGCATGTGTGTGGCATATTTGGTGGAAGTGGTACTCCTTTGAGAAGTTTTCCTTCTCTAGCTTCTTTGAGAGGGCATGGCTACTTTCTTTTTTTCACTCACTCTCTCTCTTTTGAACACTAGAGCTTTTTGTTGTTTTATTCTTTCTCACTTCTTTTTTCTGTAGCCCATGACTCTTTTTTATGTAAGACAGCTAGAGAGGTAACTTTGATTCTCATAGAGCAATAATGAATGGAAAGCATATGTGTTTGCGTATCCCTAGTGTAGGAATAGCATAAATATGTGGGTGTATGTGATCTTGATCAAAAAACTCAAGACAAACAAACAGCTTTTAGGGTGGCTTTATCATGTATGAATGAGTATGTATTTGGTTCTGGTAGGAATTTATCACCATTGAGGAACTTCTAGCAAGCGAGTTTTAGCATTTTGCAAAACAAAACATGAGGTTGTTTTTACCATTCCTCAGATAGGTTCAAAGATTTACTCTAATCATGGCTACAACATATCTCACAAGAGCCTATTCTTGGTTCTAGCATTTGCAACCCATAAAAGCATTCAACTTAAGATGAACTCTAAGTTTATCATGCTCAAAACATAAGAAGTATAAGGTTGTATAACAAGCTTTTGTAAAATATCACAGAGCAACTCTTCATCATTTCTAAATAATTTTTATTATCATGTTATTAGAGCAGAGTTCCTCTCAAGATAAATTTAAGGCACTCCTCGCTACATTCTATGATCATGAATATTGAAATGTTAAGTAAACAAGAATGTAAAGAGAGGGTTTAAGATTTCCATACCTGAGTAGGGAGAGATGTCTCCCCCAAGCTTACCTTTTGCAAAGGAGCTATACCAAACCCAGAAGACTCTTCCGGACTCCAAGAGAAGCTCCGTTCTTGCTCTACTCCACTACTAGACTACTACTCTATAACTAATGCTAAGCTAGAAAGCTAAGAGAAGCTTGGAGAGCTTGAAAATGAATGGGGCATCTTTCCACCAAGCTCCACACCCTCTATTTATAGTGTAGAGAGGCATGGGGGTACTTATAGGCAGCAGGGAGGTCGATGGCCACTGGGGGGCGCCGGGTGGCGGCATAGGGGCACCGACCGGGCCTTGGATGCACCGCCTTTGCATCCAAGGGTGCTGGTTGCTCCTCTAAGTTGGTTGTGAAGCCAGCACATGGTGAAATTTGGTAGGTATGGCGGTTGGTAATTCGGTGGAGACTCCCAAGTCTATGACAATGGGTCCATGGATCCACCGTGAACAAATCTTGTCCATTGATCAAACCACCTTGAATGGAAGCTTGTGATTGGCTCTAGAGCAGCTCCCATGGATCAGTGACATGGCAGGGCCACTTGGGGGGCTAGGCGGCGCCCATGTGGGGCTAAGTGGCGCTGCCAAGTGGGCCCTTGGCCTCCTGTCACGTCCACTTGCTCCATGTGTCCATGTTTGTCACCATTTTGGCCTATTTTTGCTATATTTCCTGCATACAAATAATTTCTACAAGCACAAGTGGAGCTAGGTGAATTATAAACAAAATTCTTCACATGTGATGATGATTTACCTCACTTTGCCATGCTTTTGGGTGGAACGTTGATGGTCAAAACAGGTGTTAGTGACCATCAACAGTCTCTCTATAGTTTGATTTTAGTTGTTAGGGTTATTGGTAGTTAGTGTAGATAATGATTAGATTAGGCTTTTATTTTTGGTTAGTTTGAATTAGTGTAGACTATGCATAGATTATTGTTAGTTTAAGTTTAGTTGTTTGTTAGGTTAGGGTTAGTTGTATAATATAAAATGTTCGAGCAATATTAATTAATGATGAATTAACTAAGTGTGTTGTAATACTGGACCAGGAATGTTGTCCGATTTAGTGCCTTTCAGAATACACTATGTCAACGGTGAAATCATTTGGGGGGAGAAGTGGGTAGACCTTAGCAAGTTCAAATTCTTTGACACACAACTCAATTTGCTGCCAGATTATAGCCAGAAGCAAGTTTTAGCATGCTTGGCTGCATGAATACTTCGGTGTTCTGCCCTCCCAATAACGTTTCAAGATTAGTATGTTGGTGCCTAAATTGTGAGATAATGGATGGAGGTGGGAGTTGTGCGAAGCAAGTAACACAAAGAAATGGAAATTACTTGTGTGTAAAGCGTTGGAGCTTGGTTATAACAATATCATGCTTGTTGATGAGTTGCTCGATGGAGGCATGCAGGCTGAGAGTAGCAATACATGTCCATTATAGGAGAACTTAGAGGCCACAAATGCTGAGTAGACCTATGTTTGCGATCATGAGGCGATTCAAAACATGACACAGGATGCAAAAGAGGAAGAATATGGTTGGCAGATGGAAGCTGAGCACGGTGAGGCTGTTGACAAAATCATCGAACAGATGGAGCCTAACGATGCCGAGCACCTCGCCTTTGTGGATGAATTTGCTGGTAGGAGCTTCGATGACAAAACCGATATCCCAAAGGATTGGACTCACATCGCACCAGATGCAATGATGGTCGATGATGGTCATCATTTGTCATGGGAGTATTAATTCAAGGAAGGAGGTCAGGCAAGGGCATATGTTTCATGACAAGGTTAATCTGCAACATTGTTGGTATTTCCTATGCTCAAGTAGAGAATCAGCAAGCGCACAGAATACTGTTGTAGCACTTCACCAAGAGCATTCCAAGGTATCATTATTTTTTATTTATTCCACAGGGAAAATGGTAGCTAGGAATGACAATAAATGAGATATCTTAGTGTTACCACAACTTAGTTATCAATAGTGTAGTGGGGGTAATCGAATTTGGATAGGAAGAGTGATGAAACAAGTCCAAAACACGAAGATAAAGATAACTTAGAAAGATAACTAGACATGAGTTAGATGAGAGGACAACAAGAGAGTACAAGGTTCCTATGATCCAACCTCTGCTTCTATGGCTCTATCTTAATTAGAGAGTTGTAGCAAGTAGATTGACTCCACACAATGGGTACACGAGGCAAAAAATGAAACAAGAGGACAAAGGTCTTGCCCGAAGCAACTAACTTTTTATGGGGCCTTACTGGTTTTTATTAACTTACCTAAGAACACGTGGTGCAATACAAAGGCTAGATATAAATGTCACCACCTACTAGCTACCATAAACAATCCATGCGACAAGCAGCACCACAAGCAAGATATAGTATAAACACCACGTTTATATACTTCAAAATATGAAACAAAGGTTAAATTGTTAATAAATAGAAGTAGCATCTGTATAAACACCTTATTTAGTTCTCATATCACATAACTTTAATTTTAATTCCAATACTTTACATTCCCACGTCAAACTCATGAATATGTAAAGTTCCTGTATATGTGACATGCCTTTAGACAAATATATAATATCCAAATTCAGGGAAATTTGAATCTGGCCAAGAAGTAAATTAATCATAGAAAAGAAGCTAACATTCTATGACATAGTATAATACTAGCAAGTGCAACATGCAGCACAAATGTGTGCACATCTCATACATCAAACTTGTTCCATAGCAGAACTGCAGAAACATAATGCAGCCCGAATTGTAAGAAACTAGATATATTTTTTATTCAAAAAAGATAGATGTAACAAAAGTATAAATATTCATAATAGAAGCTCTAGATTCTTGCTTTCTTTTATCACATGGCCCATTGATCAACATTTCCCTCCTTGGAGTTGTCACCATGTAGTCAGCACTACTTCTTGAATATTGCCACCAGATTGTCATCCAACCCGGCCTGTATGGTGGAGCCATCAGATGTATGAAGAGCGGGACCCAACCGTAGGGCCAGGTCAATGTCGGGCTTGACTCCAACAGGAGTTGTCCTCGGAGCAACTCTGTTATGGTTGTCTCTCACGAGACTTGCTAGATGTGACATGAAAGGACTTCCAGCATAAGCAAAAACAGTTTTGTAGCTTGGCCAAGGTACCTGCTGCTTGGTCTGGTTTGGCCCTTGTGGCAAGACTCCATCAGCAGATGATGAACTTGGTTTAGCATCACTGCATAAGAAAAAATATGTGTGGTCTAGAAAATACTTAATGTGCTCAACCGTCCCCTTAGGCATGCCGGCCTGGACATGTTGTTTGCAGTGGGAAGCCATGGCTGGTTGGGAACTAGACTCCTTGGTGCATTGTAGGCATACAAATGTGGGCCTAGCTAGTTCTCTCTTCTTAAGATCTGATATTATTTTGGTTAGGCAAGGTTTTGGAGGAGGCTGATGGGAGAAGTAGGCCTTCCATGATTGATCCTCCATGGAAGGTCTACTAAGGAAACAAAAAGGTGTTGATTTCTGCCTATAGATTCTACACGTGCCTCTACCACAGTATCATGGCTTCTTATAAGAGGAGGTGGGGGTTGTTGAAGGGTGGAGATTATTGAAGATTAATGTCCAAGCAAGATTTTGCCTTCCTATCTTCACATATTTTAATTTTAGTTCAATGATTTCCGTTAATGTTATAGCTCTCCGAGTCGCAGATCACTTCAAATATCAAAAATATAATAATGGCATGTGGCATATAGAGATATTTCACTTGAATGAAATAAATGGATCGAGATTCTAGAGATACAACCACAAATATACAAAATCTATAAGATATGGTATAAGAGTGAAAATGGTATACATTTAATTATCTATCCTAGTCAAAAGTTTGATCTAGTGACATTCGTCATTTAAATCTGTAATCTTAATTAGATGACAATTCAACTACCACAGTGAGCATGCGCTTGAGAAATCTTGGATTTGTACGACCATAAATGATAATTGTGATTTCAAATTATATGGACTATCATGACTAGCTAGAGACATTAATTGTATGAGGTACTGGCACCTAGAGCGTGAGCTCTCATTTAATGTGGTGGATATCAGATATCCTAGTAGTTGATACGGTTGATTATTTAGGCCAATCCCAACCCAAACACCACAAAATAGCTAATTTGTATCCTGACCATCTAGAAGCTATTGTTACCACTGCACTATATGTATCCATAGCCTAAGGGCGTTCCCAACAACTATCAAATCGCTAGCTGAGTAGGCTTGGTGGGAGGTTCGGATTGACGTGGCGGGGAGAAAACGAGAAAAAAGTGAAACGCTAGCGACTTCTTCGGCCCTAGCGCGGAGCCTATTAAAGCGAACGCAGATAGGTGCATATTGCTTTTTTACTCTGGCCGCCAATCACAGTATCCGATAGAGAGAGTAATTTATTATTAACTAACATTGACATATGAGTGCACGTCTGATTCGGTCCTGTGGCAGCTATCGAAATCGATAGCACGGCTGCGGAAGCCCTAAGCAACTATACAGCCACTCATCATTCTTCCCCACCAATCACGAATAAACAACCTGCTTCCGGTGCAAAATTTGATAGTGCATGTCTAGTGCAATGGTTTTTTTTCCTTTCAAAACATGTCTTGCATGAGATCTGATCGCTTCCACTCTCCCTTCTCTCTCCTTTATTATATCATTATATCACATTAAAAAAATCCAAGGTGGCACCACAGTTGCTGCCTGAAAACCATTATAGTTGGAGCATTACGAATATGTACCCTTATATTTATCTCATGCTGGTCTTTACTGTGTTGTGTGGATCAATGTTTATTTCTTGACAACAACAGTGTAACATGGATAAATTAGTGTAGGAGCAGCAATGTATCCATGTCCATCAGAAGCTGTTATTAAATATATGAAACCATTGAAAGCATGCACGGAATCAATATGGAATTTCAAATAAAGACGTCAAGAAGCACCTCATTGCACTAAAAACATGGTTCAAAGTGGTTTGTAAAAACATATTATGTACTGCCTCTGCGGATAGTACCCTAAACCGCTGGTGACACAACATTTCATCTTGGCGGGAGTGCGAGGGTTTTTCCAGGACGTTTTGGTGCCTTGGCAGAGGCAAAAGTGAAGACAAAAGACCTGGACCGACCTAATGACTCAGAGTGTGCAACACATTGAACCCTGACTGCTCAATAGCTACATCTAGCTCCAACTCCTTACAGTGGTCTGTACCATCCCTGGGCGCCATCGCGAGAAGAAGACCGCCTTCTAGTAGAGGAGGCTACAACGGGAGATCTCCAAACTCATATACAAATTCGGTATGAGCTATTCTCTCGGCGTAGTTTTATCTTACGTTACTATATTAGTGCAGAACTTCTGAACCAACTTATGGCAGTGCCGCCCTATAAGGCCGGCAGTGCCGCCCTCTGTTTTAACAGAGTTTCAAGTTGAATTTGTAGGATTGAGCAGCTGAGAGGGTTAGGTTACTATCTGTGAAATCTCAACGCTGTCTGCTTTATTTTTGAAGAGCGGCAGTGCCGCCCTATAAGGCCGGTAGTGTCGCCCTCTGTTCTAACAGAGTTTCGAGTTGAATTTTTATAGGCCTATTCACCCCCCCCCTCTAGGCCTCCTAGGCGACATCAAGGTCCTTTCAATTATTTTATAATTTATTTTATTTTATTTTTTTCGTGGAATCGGGTTTCGCTTTACATTTGCTACGTAGATGACAGGTCCATCAATATTAAATATTACAAATGTTACCATTACAGTTCAAATGTACTTATCAAGATCTTGATCGCTTAAAATAAAAAACAAATTACAATAGTCTATCGAGCCGCTCTGGCTCGTACTGGTTCTTGAACTTCATAGACTGTGCAATTGAGAATGTTCCGTCTCTTTCCAATACCTCCGGTAGGATGAAGGATGCTAGCTCCGATGACAGTCCTATGATCTCCATTTCTAACGGCCTTTGGTGTTTAAATTTCTTGTACTGTCATTCAAAAAATATGATATCGAAAGGCACAAATATTAGAGAAAACAGTTCAACCTGCCTGTGCAAAAGGCAATCTTGGGGGAGACATCTCTCCCCGCTTAAGTATGAAAATCTTAAACCCTCTCTTTACATTCATGTTTGCTTTACATTTCAATATTCATGATCATAGAATGTGGAGAGAAGTGCCATAAATTTATCTCGAAAGAAACTCTGCTCTAATAACATGATGATAAAATTATTTGAAAATGATGAATAGTTGTTCTGTGATACTTTGCAAAAGCTTGTTATACAACCTTATACTTCTTAAGTTTTGAGCATGATAATTTAGAGTTCATCTTAAGTTGAATGCTTTCGTGAGTTGCAAATGCTAGAACTAAGAATAGGCTTTTGTGAAATATGTTGTAGCCATGATTAGAGTAAATCTTTGAACCTATCTGAGGAATGGTAAAAACAATCTAGAGTTTTGTTTTGCCAAATGCTAAAACTCTCTTGCTAGAAGTTCCTCAATGATGATAAATTCCTACCAGAGCCAAATACATACTCATTCATACATGATAAAGCCACCATGAAAGCTGCTTGTTTGTTTTGAACTTTTTCAAGCCTTGTTGATCTGAGTAGAGAAACTTTTCATGCTTTTTGATCAAGATCACATACACCCACATATTTATGCTATTCCTACACTAAGGATACGCAACCACATATGCTTTCCATTCATTATTGCTCTATGATAATCAAAGTTACCTATCTGGCTGTCTTACATAAAAAAGAGAGGCATGGGCTACAGAAAAAAAGAGTGAGAAAGAATAAAAGAGCAAAAAGCTCTAGTGTTCAAAAAAGAGAGAAAAAGAAAGTAGTCATGCCCTCTCAAAAAGAAGCTAGAGAAGGGAAACTTCTCAAAGGAGTACCACTTCCACCCAATATGCCACACACATGCACATCTTGATCAATTTGTATGATTTGTTGCTCCTTATGATCTAAGTATTTGACTTAGCAATATATTCAATTCAAGTAAGCTATGCTTTACCCCCCTACCTTGAGCTCCACATAAGCTTTAGGATAGAAATTGAGGCTAAAATTTATGGTCTTGGTGAGGATTTTAAACACCATTGCGTGACTTGAGTGTACCATCTGAGGAACTTAGGCAAGATTTCTTTTCAAATCTATTGAAAACCTTCAGGAAGTTTGAGCTAAATCAAAGTAGGCAAAAAGTATCTATCTATCTAGCTACACATTCTTGCAATTGCTTATGTCAAGGTGAAAGCTATAAGTCCCACGTTGCTAAGACTGATGGTGAAATTTCTAAGTACTAACTTGTTCAACTTAAGAGATAGTATTTGTTTGTATATAAGTCTTTGTAGGGCGTTACATAGTAGCAACTCCTGATCCAACACCTATTCCATGCTAAACCCGCATCTTTGCTGAGGACAACAAAGGGGTAGCTTGGGGGAGCTTGTTCACGGTCACAAACACCCGTTTTGACCATCAATATTACACCCAAAAGCATGACAAAGTAAGGTAAATCATCATCACAAGTGTAGAATTTTGTTTAAATTTCACCTAGTTCCACTTGTGCTTGTAGAAATTATTTGCATGCAGGAAATATATTAAAATTTGGCAAAAAGGTGACACATGGAAGCAAGTGGACGTGGCAGGAGGCCTTGGGCCCACCGCCCGGGCCCACTTAGGCGCCGCCCGGCCCCCCAAGTGGCACCTTGGCACTTGCCACGTCACCGATCCATGGGAGCCGCTCCACAAGCTCTCCCATGCGTTGATCTAAGTCGGTTTCAACGGATGGCCAAGATAAAGTTGACACGGATCCACCGGCCCACCATCATAGACTTGGGAGGCTCCAACCGCCTTCCAAACTGACCTACCGTCCGAATTTCAGCATGTGCTGTCCAAGTAACTACCATTGGGAGCCAATCAGCATCCTTGGATGCAAAGGCGGTGCATCCAAGGGCCGGCCGGTGCCCCTATGCCGCCGCCCGACCCTCCTGTGGCCACCAACCTTCTTGCTGCCTACAAGTACCCCCATGCCTCTCTACACTATAAATAGAGGTTGTGGAGCTCGGTGGAAAGACACCCCATTCATTTCCAAGCTCTCCAAGCTTCTCTTAGCTTTCTAGCTTAGCATTATCTATAGAGTAGTAGTCTAGTAGTGGAGTAGAGCAAGAGCGGAGCTTCTCTCGGAGTCTGGAAGAGTCTTCTGGGTTTGGTATAGCTTCTTTGTAATTCTTTTATTTCAGTATTTACTTTATTAAGTATTTATTTTAAGTACTTTATTCTAGTATTATTGCTTTGCTTTACTTAAGTACTTAGTCATTAATATTCATCATTAGTGAGCTTAGGTGCTTATTGTTTGGCATTAGTAGCATAGGTTATCTCTTAATTAGTAGCTATTCGTTAGTACCGGTTCAACTGTCTGGTTAGGGTGCTTTGATCTCATTTCATCAGAGCTCGGATTGAAGTAGTAAGCCTGTAGATTAAGCGTGGTGCTTAGGCTATAGATTATCTGTGGATACGGCTAGGCCTACGGATAGATTGTGGTAGGTGGCAAGTGGTGACAGCCTTATTCATCCTCTATATTCCACACGATAGGTCTAGTTATTAAATCGTTGGGCTCATGGCAGACCTTGTCTATTTAACTCTTCTAGTTGATAGGCGGGCTGTGTCCCGAAGTACTATCGCATTTCTCCTAGTCATTTGTTTACCTTAGTTACTAAAAAGATAAATCGCTCGCTCTCTTACCTAGCTATCTCTAGTGTAGCTTGTATTTAGTAGTTAGTTTAGGTAGTTCACATTCACCCTTCACTATCGTTCACCTACCTAGGATCAACTTAGGCCTTAACCTCTAGCCCGAAGATAAATTCTAGCCTTCCGCCTTCCTGTGGCATAAATATAAATTCGACACTAGGTACTCACTGAGCGAAGTGCTACGTGATAGTTCTGTGCGCTTGCGGAATCCTCCAATAGTCGTAAAGAAATATCAACACACATCAGCGGATCATTTGATGCACACCAGTGAGTTGGCCACTCCGAAGTCTAGTTCGACAGAGAGCACTAGACTATTCGACGTAGGAAAAAGGAGCAGTAGCGGATCATCCAATGATGATCAGTAAGCTGGTGAAAAAGATATTACGCTCACCAGACAATCTAGTGGTAGTTGAAAATGCAATAAGTAGATCATCTGGTGTTTGAAAAAATCCAACAGCTAGTAACATCATTCGGACTCAATCTACATCTTTCATAATTGTTCCTCAATAAGAGTCAATTGGATTGGCTCACAGAAGACATTACAATCATAGTTGTATGAGAAGAAGAGTTATGCCACTTGCAACAAGCATGAGTTTTTAGTTCATAAAGCATCCATAAAGGATAAATATTCTATCACATTTGGTATTTCATCTCCTCTTGACAATTTCTATGAATCCGCTTAAGTGAAGGACAAGTAATAGATTTAGCTTGCGATGTTCATACAAATTCAGCAACAAAACAATAATTAGTTTCATTGTAAGCTATTAGAAAGGTACTCAATGGTATGAATTTTAGGACGATGTAGGACTTATGAGGTTCTCTATCATCTTTATTTCTGCTTTCAACGGTCGAAGCTTTTTGGAACAATTGATTTTAGGAAATCATAGTGTGATTGGTATGGTCTATTGGTAAGTATTTCTCCATAGTTTTATTTGTACCCCCAGCAGGCTACCATCATCTCCCATCATCCCCCAGCAGGGTTAGTTGTATAATATAGCCACTAGATTATAGCCACAAGCAAGTTTTAGCTTGACTACATGAATATTTCGGTGTTCTGCCCTCCCAGTAACGTTTCAGGATTAATATTTTGGTGCCGAAATTGTGAGAGAATGGATGGAGATGGGAGTTGTGCGAGGCTAGTAACACAAAGAAATGGAAATTACTTGTGTGTAAGACGGTGGAGCGTGGTTATAACAATATCATGCTTATTGATCAGTTGCTCGATGGAGGCATGCAAGCTGAGAGTAGCAACACAATTATATTACAGGAGAACTTAGAGGCCACAATTGCTGAGTAGACCTATGTTTGCGATGAGGCAGTTCAGAACACGACATAGGATGCAGAAGAGGAAGAATATGGTTGACAGATGGAAGCTGAGCACGGTGAGGAGGTCGACAGAATCATCGAACAGATGGAGCCTGACGATGCAGAGCACCTCACCTTTGTGGCCGAATTTGTTGGTAGGAGCTTCAATGACGAGACCAATCGATATCCCTGTGGATTGGACTCACATCACACCGGATGCCATGACGATCGACGATGGTCATCATTCATCGTGGGAGTATTCAAGGAAGGAGGTCAGGCAAGGGCATATGTTTCATGACAAGGTTCATCTGCAACATTGTTGGTATTTCTTATGCTCAAGTAGAGAATTCTACAAGCACACATAGAATACCGTTGTAGCACTTCACCAAGACTATTCCAATGTATCATTATTTATTTATTCCCTAGGGAAAGCGGAAGCTAGGAATGACAATAAATGAGAGATCTTAGTGTTACCACAACTTAGTTATTAATAGTGTAGTGGGGGTAATCGAATTTGGATAGGAAGGGTGATGAAACAAGTCCAAGACATGAAGATAAAGATAACTTAGAAAGATAACTAAACAGGTATAGCTAGATGGGTGGACAACGAGAGAGTATAAGGTTCCTATGATCCAACTCTACTTCTATGGTTCTATCTTAATCACAGAGTTGTAGCAAGTAGATTGACTCCACACAATGGGTACACGAGGCGAAAGACGAAACAAGAGGACAAAGGTCTTGCCCGAAGCAACTAACTTTTTATGGGGCCTTCCTGGTTTTTATTAACTTACCTAAGAACACATGGTGCAATACAAAGGCTAGATATAACTGTCACCACCTGCTAGCTACCATAAACAATCCATGCGACAAGCCGCACCACAAGCAAGATATAGTATAAACACCACATTTATATACATCAAAATCTGAAACAAAGGTTAAATTGTTAATAAATAGAAGTAGCATCTGTATAAACACCTTCTTTAGTTCTCATATCACATAACTTTAATATTAGTTCCAATACTTTACATTCCCACATCAAACTCATGAATATGTAGAGTTCCTGTATATGTGACATGCCTTTTGACAAATATATAATATCCAAATTCAGGGAAATTTGAATCTGGCCAAGATGTAAATTAATCATAGAAAGGAAGCTAACATTCTATGACATAGCCTAGCTTGGCAAGGCTAGATGAGGCAAGGTGAACAAGGCAAGGAAGATAAGAAACCAAGCATGCCATAATTCGCTCGGTCGTCGCAGGCACGAGATAATTATTTTTTCAATGGCTTTGGCTCAAACCGAGTGTAATATTATTGTGCTCATCGATCATCTAAACAATAATTTTTTTTAGGTTGCAAAAACTTTAGGACATGTAATTTACGTGGGTTTTAGGTTCTTTCGTCACAAAAAAAAAAAAAAAAATCCCAGATTGGTTCATATATGATAATATAGAGTCATCGGGAAAAGTTACACATATCATTCAGGCATAGCATGCTTACATATACAACAATTGCACGGCGGCCGAAATAAATCTGCTACACCTTCGCGGGAGAAGCCCACACCTACGTGGTTTCTCTGGCTTCTTGACTAGTTGCAAAGAAGCCCTATCAAAGAGGACTTTAATTTACAAGGGGCGTTTTATCATACTTCAGTTAAAATCGGCCACTTGCCCGGTATTTTGTCTTGGATAGCAATGTTCTGGTCCAGTTCCAGCATCTATCGTGTATTATACTTCAGTTAACTTCAAGCGTGGAACAACATTCATTGCATGCAATTCCTGAAATAGAAAATCAAACAAGTGAACATAATGAAATCAAATGCAGCATGGCATAGCTATACCCTACATGTACTAGCAGAATTAGTTAAGGTAATGCTGACAAAATTCCTCATAGTATGACTTACTTCCCCCTACCAAGAAATGAGATTTATCATTTTGTGAATGGGACCGATACCAGGATAGTTCATTTGGGTTAAGTGGATTGTGGAATTTTCTGCAGGCAGATTTATAAAGAGAAATAGGCGGGGTGATAAAGAGCTCCAGCATCTCCATTAACGAAAATGCAAATAGCTCTAACATGTATTTGTCTAAAAAAACTGCAAAAAAAAAACTATGCATGCGATAAGTCCAATTCCAAACGTATCACTTTAGACTTGTGAATAAGGCTTAAAACATCACTGCACTTCATTTGTGAGTAGTAGCATAATATCAAGGTGGCAACAAAGTAAAGAGTCAAAAAAAAAAGTTCTAGGATGGTTTCATTTAGAGATAAGGCTAAAACAACATACATTCATTTTCGGAACTAAACAGAGTAGTCCACATAAGAGATACTAATCTTAACAAAAATTCAAACACAAATGATCTGTTAGCACATATACCAGACGGGTACTATACCTGAAAAAAAACTGTTCCTAAATTTTTGTGGCAGTTAAGAAGTCTTAGAAAAACAATTGCATTGCAGGGCCAAAATAAATCAGGTTCTATGATTAAAGCAATGCATTACGCTCTTATGCAGTACCTGGAACAAAAGCTTGCAAGCATATGGCAGCCTCATCTTGGCCATATTTTCCCCATTTTTGCACATTGAACAGTATGATGTCTTCAGTTTATGATTGTAGTAGCCTAACAAGCCACATTTTCTGCAAACCTGAAAAATGTTCACATTCATACACGAGGTGAGGCCACAGCAATACCCATTGGGGAAAAAAAAGAGTGCTTCATGATACTGGTTGAAATAAGTAATGACATAAATAACAGAAATTGTCAGCTGGCCTGGCCATTGGGCTAAGTTAGCTCCATTATTACAGTACTCTAATATGAATTAGATAACACCTGATACAACAGTTTCTCTCTAACACCCACCCGTAGATTTTGCTAGGTGCTGAAGAAAACAAACATTTTGGAGATCGGTTAAAAAGACCATTATGCCTTTCTCATTTTTCTTTCCTTTTTCTCCCCAAGCCGGCACTTATCATCTCAAAACCTACCAGCAGACTCAGGTTTGTCTCTCAAAGCCTAAACTATTTCTAGTTCCACATTTTTTTCTCAAAAACAAAATCAAATATGATATTGACAGAAACAAATACAGAAACAGTATTATGGAATGTAAACAAAAACAAAAATCAATTGTCTCTAGTTTTTTTAATTTCTGTGTTCACTTTATTCGTTACCATTTTTATTGTCACTTTATCCTAAAATACAACAAGAATTCAGAAACAAGCCCAAGTAGACGAGATTTTTGTTCTAGTGTAAATGGAAAGGAGTATGACGCTGCTGGCGTCCAAGAAGACCAAGACGCTGTATGCAGAGATGTAATGCTCTTTATCTGGTCTGTGTTGAGAGGTGATGTAATCAGGATAGACTGTCAAGGTGGTTTTGTCGCTAGTAGTTATGTCAGTTAAGTTCGAGTCCCCTCTTGCGCTGGTGGTTAAGCGCACTCCTGTTAGCTGTCTGGTCTTTTTCTTTCTACTTTCTTAAAAACTCTTAACTGCTTGTATTTCCGTTCTAGTAATGGAAATGGGGAAGATCCTCGGTTCTAAAAAAAATGACAGGTGGGCCAAAAGGAGAAGGTCAAAATGTTCTTTTTATAACTCAACTGTATTATATGATAGTCCTAGGGACAAACTACAAAACCACAATGTGCCTCAAAAGAAATCAACTAGTGGTATGTCCTAGGGAGTAGGGATCAAACAACATTATGTGTCCTCAAAAAGTTCCACTTTCAAGACAAGAGGCCCAATGGTCAAGAGGCAAATTTATTCTTTGGCAAAATATATATGATAGAGTAACATGCACTAGTCACCTCAAAGTGATGATCGGTTCATCATACTTTTTAAGTGGGTTAACAAGAGGTGATATTTCTCTTAGAGTGAACCACTTCAAAGGTTGAAGGACTTAGATCCTTGCTTTTCGAGTTTATGCACAAAGTGACAGTCTAGGAAATGCTCAAAGATCCAGTACATTTCACTCCATAATACTATTAGCATTTAGGCCACCCTGCATCATTCCAACGTCTAAAAAATATAAGTCACAAACTACTTCTGATATCACCTGGACTTGATAAGGATCACTTGACAACATTAGCCGTTCAAATATTAGCATGCTAGCACCATATGCAATCAAACAATCACGTTCCATTTCACCAAGACGCAAGCCTGTAAACAATATTATAGAATGAGAATAAGATAATCAACAGGTACTAGTAAATATAGCCATATGACTACAGCACAAGAAGATATTGCCAACCTCCATCACGGCTTCGCCCCTCAGTTGGTTGCCTGGTCAGTAACACCCGTGGTCCACTAGCTCGAGCATGCATCTTATTAAGAACCTAGAGAATCCATGTTTTAAGAAAATTAGAATGGTACCAAAAAGAAATAATCCACTTTTAGACATCCAAATCTTGCCAAAGTCTGACACTGGTGTAGCAAAGATTGCTGTCCTGCTTGGCTGGGCGCTGTCGGGCGGATTAGTGTTCCATGAGCGTAGCAAACACATCAATGTGCGCTACCACTTCATTAGGGAGTGCTTGGATGATAGAAGGATTTAGGTAAGAACAGTGGCCCCACATGTTAATGAATTTGATCTACCCCTCACCTTATCCTTTCTTTTACCTGCTTGCCTCTCGTTCAATTTTTTGGTAAGCTGTGTAATTTTATTAACACTATCCATTATGTAGCCTCCTAATTTTAGCAAATTAGTTGGTGGACCAGACCATTAATGTGAGGCGTTGTCGAATCTGTCCTTGATCACAATGTTTTCCAGATCATTGATTAGATCTTTTCCTAGAGTTTTGGACTGAGATCTTGCTATATGTGGATTCAGATTACTTAACATGTCATCTCCTATCACACTGAAGTTGCTCATTAAACACTTCATACTCATTCAACACTATTTTTTCTTAATGAAAAATGTGCTCAGCATGTTAAAAAAACACTTTGGAGGTTTGACTGGTAAACTTTTGCTGCATCGATGAATATAGTCAATTCAAGTGAAAAACACTATTCTTCCATAATTTGGCCTTGTACCAATTGTTGGTAGAGAAAAGCTTGTTCATGATACACAACTGACACCAATTTATATGTAATGAATGCATTTAGAAACCTTGTGCAGTAATGTTATAGAGAGAGCCCAGCATAAAAATAAGGACACAGAAGCAATAGAAAACAAAGCCTAACCAAGTTAAAAGGAACAAAAGAATGGAACCATCATTACCATGTGCTTCAGTTTCTGATAGTAGATTGGCCCCATGAAGATGTATGCCTCAAGTGGCTGACCAAGAATTCCTGAGAGGAGAAATATTAAGACTGGAAAATTATGGCAGGAACATGAGTCGAGAACACATGTCAAGAAACAAGAATATCAAAATCGTGCTTTCCAAATTTACAAGATATTTACATGACTAGAATAGTGTAGTACACTTGAAGCCATTAGCTTTTGTATATTATGAAGATTGTCCCCTTTTCCCAATGTAGCTTTTGTATATTATGTATTTCTATAAACACCAAATTTAATCGTAATATTTTTACATTAGCTTATTGCAAATTGGTGCACCAATGACTCATTCAATCCACAAGTCCGCTACAGGACTATTGAGTTAAGTGCTTTCTAATTTTGTCGAATCTAATCAATAGATTTAACATGATAACTAAAGCTCAAGTATAAAGTAATTTGATATCAAGTATACCCGAGTACAAGAAATCTTTTCCACCATAGCTGAAGCCGTGCTTAATTAGAGTAGAGCTGGTATGCAAGAAATGGGTGTTAAAACTCGTAGTAGTAAACACACCTACAGTCCCAAGATGACCAAAAGCCAAAGTATACCTTATGTCTGCAACATTGTCAGCATTACCACTTGGCTCACCAAATGCACTGCCATAGTGAAATCGACCACAAGAAACACCAGCCTTTCCACCAAGAAGTTCGATCATTTTACCTATTGTCATATGACTAGCGAGCAAAATAAGAGTAAGGCAGCCTTGAAATAAGCATAAACACAGAAAATATAATAATACCAGCAAAACCAATTTAGTTATATAAAGCCTTGTAGCATTGGAACGATGATATACGTGATAGATTAGGGGTAGCACCAATTGAAGAAAAGCTTGTCCAACACCGGTTGAGATGGTTTGGACATGTCCAACGGAGACCTCCTGAGGCACCGGTGCGTAGTGCAATCCTAAACCAGGATAGTAACGTGAAGAGAGGCAGAGGAAGACCGAAGTTGACTTGGATAGAGGCAATAAAAGGAGACTTGAAATGATGGAATATACCCAAAGACTTTTAGATAGGAGTGCTTGGAAGACAGCTATTCACGTGCCTGAACCTTGATTGCTTCTGCTGGGTTTCAACTCTAGCCTACCCCAACTTGTTTGGGACTGAAAGGCTTTGTTGTTGTTGTTGTAAAGCCTTGTAGCATTGATTATTTTGCATGCCCATGATCAATGGATCCTATAGGACAAATATACTCCTTGAGGATCCCTCTCTATAGCGGCATACTGTGGGCAGCCTTGTTTATCATACTGTTACCGGTCGTGGTATTGTTTTTGCAGTCCACATGTTGAGTCCATTTGTCAGTGCTCCTACTTAAGTCCATTTTGGGCATTGCTTCATGTGCTACGATCATATCAGTGCTTGTTCTATGCCCATGTCAGTCTGCTTCACCCTCATGCTTACTCAACAGGTCATCATTTGTTACAAATTATTGCATTTTTTCTGGGCTCTTGACCTCTTGTGTGGAAGTCCAACAAGCATGAACTTCAAGCACTACCACTTCATTGATTGTATTGCTTCATTAGTTGTTAGCTGATTTTGGCATTTCCTACCTCTTAATGTGATAATTCTAGAACCATAAAGATTGCTAATGATCCCATGAAGCATGAACTTACAAAACACATTAGTGCATGCCACTTTCACCCAGTCTCATTTTCATCAGAAAGCAATCTCTCCAGTATGTGCCTTCAAAATTGCAAGTGGCAATCTTATTCAATTATAAGCACAAACTTGAGAGCAACATTGGCTTCACTTGCTCAAACTCAGTGCTTCAGATGCTCCACTTCCACCTTGAGTTTGAAGGGAGTGTTAAGTCTATCAAGGTCCATATACTATAGGCCCATATGGCTCATGAGGTTCTCTATATAATGTCATCTCCACTACTGGAAACATCAACTTCTAACACCCCCATAGTTAGTGACAGCAAAGAATGAACTAAAGAACCCAAATTCTATATTAATTTGGAGCTAAGCTAAATACCTCAGATGGTATACAGTTACAAAATAAAACTACAATTACAATATTCATATTAATGATCATGAGAGAAGAAACTTCCTCAGATAAAACGAGATAGGTGAGGAAAATAACAAAAATAAAACAAATAACAAGCAAAATAAAACCTTGGGAAACCATGTGGATTCATGATTAAATCAGGACAGATTCCTCTCTCAGAGAAGGGGAAGTCTTCTTGCTGAATAATCGTACCACAAACACCTTTCTGCCCATGTCTGCTACTGAATTTGTCACCAACCTGAAATACAAACATGAAAGAAAAATTTTATATCCATCCGTGCAAAAAAAAAAAAAAGGTGCATGGAGCATACAAACCATACCTCTGGCCTTCTAGTGTGGTGAATAATACACTTAATGGACAACTTATCATTTGTATCTGAGCACAGCATTACACGATCTATGACAGTAGTCTCACCATCAACACCTTTGTAAATGGCAGGGGAGTCCTTGTAGCACCTAGATGGTAAAATTACAGGAAAGGGAAACATATATAGCATTCATCAAGACCAAAACTTAATAACCCTAAAATTGAAGAGTGGACACATAAACAAGGAAAAGTACAAGGGGAAAGAATCCTTACCTGTCTGTCAATGGCCTACCTATACCTTTTGAAGTGTTCATGGGAGTTTGCTTGTTCACATAGATATCATGATTGCGAATAATTTGACCAGGTGCGACAATTCCATCATCATCCAATGCCTTTCAATAGGTAATCATATTGTTAGTGTTAACTAGAACATGCTTAGGTGAGAAAAATGAAACAGTTCTAAAAAATAGTCGCAGAATATGGGCAGTGATAACTCCATATCCTTACTCTCATATTCTGCTTCATCAAAACACCATCTTTATCTCTTTGGGGTTTAACAATCCTATCCGATACACCATCTACATAGTTGTCCTTTAAAACTGTGTACCTGTAAGTGGAAAATAACATATGTACAAAAAACTAATAATATAATTTTCATTAAAAAAAAAACAAAAAACCAATAATATAGGAGACCAACAGAACTAGAGACATGAAAGCAAAGCACTTCAATCAAACAATCAAAACAAACTACATGCCACTGATTGGAAGTACAATATTACTTTTTCAATGCTATGCAACGGCCAAACCCTCGATCAAGGGATGACTTGTTCATCACAATTGCATCTTCAATATCATAACCACTATATCCCATGACAGCAACAGTGGCATTCTGCCCAGCACCAAGTTTATCATACCCCACCTGAAAACAAATTGCAGTAAAATATCCACCATACTGATTCAAAGAACGAGTGTGGGTGAGATTTTAGACACAAACCAACTCAATAGTTTTCGTCGTTAGCAGTGGACGTTGTGCATACACTAGTAAGTACAGTAGTGAATCTGCTCTGAACAACTGCAGTGCATTACAAAAGAAAATAAAACATTACTTTTGCCATAAAAGGTAAAGAACCTGAGAAAGAAGATAGAACCAGATATCACAGCATCAGAAGATCAAACAAGTCATTAAATACAATATAAAAATTAACTTTAAGTTTCTGAATATTCTGAATACATGCAATAGTTACAACCAAACCAACCAATGTAGCATTTAAATCGAGAGATTTTTCAACAACAAAAAAATGCAACAATTAACTGGTACAAAAATTATGAGGTTCCTTGCCTGATTATATGCAATATTTCCCATCGCTTGCTTACCCATTGCACACTGAAATAAGTGAAATGTCAATAGAAAAATAAACCAAGAAACAATGAGATATATAATGATAATCTACATCCTTGCCTGATAAGTATTACGTGGAGATTGGTTGTGGTGTGGATATGGAATAAGTCCAGATACAACCCCTAAGATACTCAATGGCTCTATTTCAATGTGTGTGATGCTGCTTCTTTCAACATCATCTTGATCCATGTGCTCATACAACGCAATCTGTTTGAATCATATTAGTACACACCACCACAATTTGGATAACAAACCATAAAAAAGGCAAAAGAATCATGATGTACCAGTGCATTGTTCTCTTCATTGACGTCAAGATATTCAATCAGCCCACCACTCAGAAAATCATCAAAATCATAAGTTCCATCCTGAGGGAAAACCAACTTATGAGAAAGAGAAAATAAAGGATAACAAGTCAAGAAATTATGGAACTCAAAATGCCGACCCTCAGTTTTGTCATGTGAGTCTCATCGATCCTTGATATCCCCATATCAGCAATTATAAGTGGGCGACAAACACGGCCACCATCAGAGGCAATGTGAACGCAACGCTATAAAAGCAGGTCCAAGGTTAGTATCTTGCAACTTATTCGTTGATAAAAAAAAAATACAAACCATTAAATTACAGATAACAAGTAAAAAAAGATTACATGTTTGACATGGAAAAAAACACATTCAAGAAATGTCCCCCTAGACCTCCTTCTTTGGGACAGATATTGGTTCAGGTTAAGTTGTTATGACCTCAGCAGTGATCTATCTAGCTATTGCCAATTCGCCCTAGACCTCCCTCCATGGGCCATCAAGGTCAAGGCTATAGACAAAATCTGCCGAAGTTTTCTTTGGAGGGGAAGAAAAGAGACAAAGGTTGGACATTGTTTGATTGCTTAGACTAAAGTTTGTCGCCTCAAAGAGCTTGGAGGACTTGGTATTTCATGATCTTAAATCCTTTGGATAGGCATGCATTGCGGATGTAATGACTTTGGCTTGCCAACACGCAACCTAACAAACAGTGGGCTGCTTTTCCTATCCAAGTTCATGCCTCAGTCAGGGCCTTTTCCCAATTGACATGGTTACTAATGTGGGTAATGGAAACACAAGGAATATCAGTTGCTGGTTTGGCCCCTAATCTTCCTGCTTTAATCCTAAAGTGAAGAAAGAACCAGCTTACTGTGAGAGAGCCCCTAATGGATCATCGATGGGTCCAGGATATAAGTGGTGGTAGTGGTATTGCCCTCTATGATTTTCTTGATGTCTGGGACTTGGACACAATCGTGCAGCTGCATCCAAATGCAGAGGATGACCATCGTTGGAGATTCACAGAATCCAATCAGTATTCAGCAAAATCGGCTTATGTGGCCTTCTTCAATGGGGCTGTTAATTTTGAGCCATGGGAGTTTATTTGGAAATCTTGGGTACCTAAGAAGTATCAATTTTTCCTATGGCTAGCAGCACATGATAGGTGTTGGACTGCTGATACATTTGCTCGCAGAGGGCTGCCTCATCCAAATCAGTGCCCATTATGAGACCAAGAGCAGGAGATAATTCAACATATTTTGACAAATTGTCTTCTCTAGACGGTATTTACTCTTATGACGTTCTGGTTTACCAGACCTCCCTCCACGAGTTGAGGATGAGGTATTCTGTGTTTGGTGGCTTTGAATTGATACTTTAATTCCAGGACATTGGAATAGCGGAGTAAACTCAATGATCACCTTAGGAGCATGGACGATTGGGAGACACAGAAATGATTGTGTTTTAATGGTGCTGTACTAAATGTCCACGTCGTTCTTAGAAGAATTTTTGAAGGGAACCTCTGGTGTAAGGCTGGTGCAAAAGGTTTGGCGCAGCTTTGGGCTGCTGCCTAATAAAGGTCATTTTTAGTTGTTCTGTTTGAGTGTTTTATGAGTTTCAGGCGTGTGTATTCTTTGAACAAGTAAGGTGTGGTGTGAATTTTGTCTTGTAATGTAAATATTTTCTCCTTCTTAATGCAATGAGATGCAGTTCAGCCTATGCTTCGGAAAAAAAAAAGTGTCCCCCTTATGAGAAACATAAATCACGGGACTACAAATTTGCAATATACAAGATTAAGGCATAACTTAAAAATATTAAACCAGTAGAAATGCTGATGCAACCATTTTTGTTCACTTTTGTTGAAAAATATGATATCATAGGTCTTCTTATCTGAAAGTATTAAAGGCTTAGCAAGATATCATACAAAATGCAATTCAGAAAAACAAGGAAATCAGTTTCCAGATCTATGCTATACTTACCTCCCTAAGAAGTTCAAATGTTTCTAGCTCCTCTATATGACTATATCACGATCCCATTCACTCATGAACTGTCACACCCCAAAATTTCTAATTTTGGGTTGTGCATAGAAAACACTAATTAAAATAAATGTTTTGATATTTGGATAAAATTTACCAATCTCAGTTTGAACTAGCGTAAACTTAGTTATAGGAAAAATGTGAATTTTCAAGCTTTTCCAAATTAATTTGACGAGCTATTGCTTGATGTGATGCTTGGTTGTTGATTTATTTCTTGTTGTGAGAAAAGATTTTAAAAATGCGTTTAGTAAGTCGATCTTCTTTCTCCAGCAATTCTAAGTCTTTCTCACCGATCAAATTCCTTGTTTTCCGACTTAATATTTGCTTGAGAAGTATCCTAAAATCTTTTCCATGAAATCCAAATCACTCCTTCCTGCTCACTATTCATCAACCTATCTCCATGGATACCTCGGGATTTTCTTTGGTTTTTTCCGGAACTTGTTCTCACTTGTTTGTGAGCATAATCTAATTTTTAAATGCTCCAAAATATCTTTTCATGAGCTCCAAATACTTTATTTGGGTTCGTCTTGTTCTAAAATATCTCTGAGAATTTTCCCTGAATTTTCGGAGTCTTTGGAGTATTTTTCGTGGCTTAAAATTCAATTCTGGACTTTTCTAGAATTATTTTATCCATGAAATTAATTAATTCTGAAAATAATAAAATATCTCAGATTTCCTCATGCCCAAAGGCCCATGTCTTTATTTACTAATGGGCTTTAATAATTAATTAGGCCTATTAGTAAAGGTGGAGGGTGCAACATCAATTAGTACCATATTGCTAGTTGATATAGATGTGGGGAGTTTTTCTTCCTATATATATTTACCAACCCCTTGGGTAAAGCACACCAAAACTACCGTATGGGGAGCCCCTAGTTTGGGAAAATCCCTCGTGTAGTAAATTATATTTTTCTCCTCCCCTCGCTGTCGCCGTCGTCGTCGCCGCCGTCGCCGCCGCACTGCCCGTTCGTAGTTGTTGGTTGGTAAGCATACCCACGTTTTCCTTCCTCTTTGTTAATTACACCATGCCCGTTGATTACCTCTCCTGCCGCAGTCCGTGCTACATCGAGAGCCATCATCAATCTCCGAGACGGTTATGTGGACGTCTCGCCTCCGTCGGTGAGAAATCCAGCATACAGTTCCTTCGTCTCTCCTCTACATGATCTGCACAGCTCACTAGGTCATGCAATCCTGCAGGTTCTGTTCCATATTTAAGCTAGGATGGACAGCATGCAAGCGTGTTGCTCCGGCCTTGTTTGACCGAAGGTCCGATGCAATCTGAGGTCGCAGTTTTGCTGCCGAGCCACATGGTACGATAACCATATCCACCTTTTGTCCGTGCATCTGTGCCTATCGACCCGATCATCATCTGTGTTCCATCTGATGCGCCTCTGCATGCCTCCGTCAAGCTGCCAAGGCGGGCCATCCACCTGCAGTCCATCTGCTTGCAGTCTTGAAGTCCAGCAAGCAAGCAAGCTCGTCGTTCACCTGGAAGCAAACAAGGACCATGCGTGTGTACACACAAGCAAGTAAATCCCCCCATGCACAGCAGCAGCAGGCAACCTCTTTGCCATGGCCACGTACGTCCAGATGGAGGAGGCCAGAGGTACAAGATGATGTATTTACAGTTTTGCCACCGATCGTTAATCCTTTACCGTTTCATCGTCTTAACTCCGTTTCGAGCGATTCTAGTTGCGTTAGTTTCGTAATTTTGTGCTCTATGCAGTAGTAGTAAAGTATATCATGTCAGTTAATTATGAATTTATTAACCTAATACTAATTACATTAATAATTAGTTAGGTTTCCCAATTAAAAACAATCAGTTTAATTTCATTCTTGTTCTTTTACGACCGTGCTGATCATGAGGTACACATTAGTAGGAAAATTTATCATGTTTCACATCTTTGAATTTTATAAGTAAATATTAATTTGATTTGTGCTTATGCAATTGAGTTTCTAATTAAAAGTAACATAGGCATATACTTCGGTCTTTTATAAATTATTGTAAATCTAATTAATGTCACCCTTAATCTCTCTTGATTTATAAGTGATTTAGTTTAATCTTGAAACATAAGTGCTTTCGTTTAGTTATTATATGTTCTTTACCTTTTCGTGTTAAATGTTTAAATGACTTAAAGCATATGTATAATCTTTTATAATTATAAAATATGACTTATGCCAGCATTAATGTTTTTTAATTATGACTTGCTTAGATCAATTATGAGACATAATATAAATGCTCTATTAGTTGCTCTCACATGTTTTATATTTCTAAAGTAAAGTTTAAATGTTCTATATAATATGAGACATGTTGATTAATAAAATATGATTAGCTTAAACTTGACTTTTCAGACTAAATATGTTATGATTAATCTGAATTAATTATTCTCACATAGTTTTTCTTAATTAATATCAGTAAAGCTTGTAGCTGTTTTTCTTTAATAATATAAAGCTTCCGGTAGTCGTTTCCAGAGCGCTCGCGGTCGTAGTAACGAGTTCTCGTTTAGTACGATGTTTTCTCTTGTGTGGTGTGTTGTCTTAGTCTACTTTGTTTCTTGTATGTTTGCCTATGTGTGGTGCTTGTTTCGAGTAGACAAGAACCGATTGAGAGCGTTGAAGATCAGAAGTTGAGCGCCCGAAGCTGTAGAATGGAAGATGAAGTTGATGCTCCTCGAAGCAAGTTGCTTTGGGTGTAAAGCAAGTTTAAGGGGCAAGTATAGCATGGGATCATCCTTGATGTCCTATTCACTTTAACCACTAAATATCATATGCATGTGTCCACCTTGATACCCTTTATAGGATTCCCTATAAATTGTTTACTGAATACCTTGAAACCTCGGAGTATTGCATTTGGGTATTACTTTTGCTAGCGCTAAACAATAACCATGATCTTGATACTTGACTGATAATTGAGCTTTAAACAATTTAAGATGACTTGTTAGCAATGACAGGAGGGTTTAATTCCCTCTCCTCAAGGACTCATTTGTAAGTGATCATCCGGGACTTACAGTACATCTGTGAGGGCTACATGGCTCTGGCTCTAGTTGCTTAGAAGGCCTTTTCTAGCCGGCTTAGAGGATACTGCGAATTGGGTATAGGACAGCCTCTGTCCTGTTGAGCCTAGCTATGGAAGCGGCCTTTTATTTTTGGAAGGGGGGTTCCTATATCCGATGATCCTGCGGCCCTTCCCGGTTAGACGAACTTTTGAGTGGCTTTATATGGTTCTCTGTGTTTTTGGCCTAGCTAACCCGGGCATTTGAGAATCATGACTCACAGTGAAAGTGTACACCTCTGCGCAGAGTTTAATAAACTGATATATCAGCCGTGCTCACGGTCACGAGCGGCCAAGGGATTCTTATACCAAAGATGAGCACTTGTTTAATTATGCTTAACTAAGTTGTCTTTGAGCTATTTATTGTTCTTGTATAATGATCATGTGTTATGGGAACTATGGTGCTACCTTGTTGCTAATAAATGCTAAAACTTGATCATACACTTAAAAGCTACTTGCGCTTCAACCAAATGTCGACTATTTGAACCTCATAAACCCCATGTTATATTTGGCCGAGTTTGACATGGACTCACCTTTGCAATTTTCCCCACACCTCAAATGGATATCGCAGCTAGAGTCTCAAGGAGTTAGGCTTGTGATCAACCAAATCAGTTGGATCCAAAGGAGTGAAGTCTCCACCCGGAGATCAGAGTTGTCTATCCGTTGATTGCTTTCTAAGGTTATCTCTTTTGCTAAGTTCGCTATATATTAAGCATTATGAATTGATACTGCCCCTTCATTTGTAGCTATATGTGAGATTTGATTCTAGAGACTCACATATAGTGTGCATCAGGTTTTGTCCTTAAAACCGGGTGTTACATGAACTCATGACCAAATGGTATCCAACAAGAGTTTCAGGAGTCAACAGATCCAAAGTTCAGTTACAAGTTACTTTTCATGTATTGATTTTCCGTTTGGATAATTGAACATGAAATGATGAGTTTGTCTTGAAAATCCTTGAAAAAGTAATTTCATATTAGTATATTTTTGCTATATTTTAAAAAGTTTGTATTCAGAGTTGTGTTTTGGGGACGAAGGAACAACTGAAAATTAATTTCCAAGTTTTTTTAGGATAATATCAGCTAATAGGTACACAGCTTTTGCAAGATGGTCAGATTCGTTATAACCTAATAGTTACAAAGAGAAAGGACATACCTGTTTCTCATTAATAAAAATGCTTACAAACTCGCCAATTACGTTAGATCGACGTAAATTCCTCAAATCAATAACAAGCCTCTGAAAGCATGAGACACAACTTTATAATGGAAGAAAAGTCAAATAAATAAACACGTATGTACGATCTGTAATGAATAAGACCTGAGGATCTTTGTGTTTCCCCAGTATTAATCCATTGAGCGTGACCAAAAATGAACCCGGCGCATGAATTTCTTCAGACGATAGAAACAATAAATCCTCCACGCCTAGACTATAACACTACAGTAAAGAATGAACACAAATAAGAATAATAGATATATAATATTATAGATAAACTGATGCACTTGATTATAATAGAAGTAGAGAAACCAAGTGAAAAGAGAGTAAGAAAATTTTGAATCAGCGTACCAAGTTATAGGTACTAAAGCAAACAGACAAGTATCTTATGTAACTAAGGATCAGTTTGTGGTTGCTTTGCTGCTCTGTAAGGTCCGGCTAGTTACAGGAACTTTGTATTCAAGTACAGTTTTGCTGTTGTGGTGTCCAAAAGGTTGCTTTTGTGTAGTTATTACTATATTCAATACCGATCGTACTTGTATGCATTTTAAGCACTTCCAAAAGAAATTTAAGGGCACACCCAAAAAGATTGAGAAAGCTTGTAGCTGAAAACATTTAGAAAAGTACAATGCAGTTTAAAATCTAATGCAACTCCTAGAAGAGCCTGAAGATGAAAATATTAGTTGATATACTTCTGCAATCAAGGTATTGCAGGATCTACCGTTGTATGCAACAGGTTCGAGATGGTAAACAACAAAGCGCGCTTGATAGCAATTTGGGTATTAAAGATTTCGATGCTAGAGTTGTTACAGAGTATGAAACTGCTACAGAAAGTTAGCTATCTAATCATGGTCTTAAGGGCCTATCGGATCATTAATGCACTATATTATAGGCACAAAACATCAACACCAAAAAGTACAATTAAATGAACCAAAATATAACAAACCAGATCTATCAGTGGGCCCTCCTCTTGGTCTGTTGTGATATGAGAAAGCAAAGCTAAATTTTTTGTCAATCCACAAGCTTCTCCTTCAGGAGTATCACATGGGCAAAGCATACCCCACTGTTACAAATAAAATTATTACATTATTACACAGTATAGGAAGAACAGATGGGTTTTAGGAAGAACAGATGGGTTTTAACATTCTTGGTTTCCACGAAATTTATGTCTCTATGATGTAGCAACATTGTAAGATTTCTCTTCACCTGACTAGGCTGCAAAGCACGTGGACCACTTGTTTTACGAGTCTTCTCAAATTGGGGTGTTATCCGCGTCATGTAGCCTAAAGTTGCCATGTAGGATAGCCTTGAAAGAACCTTTAATCAGAAGAAAAAGAGGTTACGTTTAAAAAATAACTGGGGTGGGGGGGGGGGGTAAAAAAAAATCAAAGGTATGGAGAACTTGGTACCTGAGATACACCTTTCCTATGCATCCTAAAACGTTTAATATCCCAATTTCCTGTGGAAATAGCCCTCTCCAAACCAAAGGTAATAGTATCTTGCATTATCAACTTCAAAAAGGGAACACATTTACATAAACAAGACACCATGTCTGAGCATCCTAAGTGGTTAACAAATATGGTTAATGAGACAACACCCTCAGATATATTTCGAAAGGGGGGTAATTTGATGATAAATTTGAGAGGGATTTGAAGAAAGAAGGGAAGAAAAAGGAGTGGCTGCACCTAGGCTAGCCATCTCTAACTATGAAAAGGAGGGGATGGCACACGCAGCAAGGACGCTACCAGCGTAGTGGTGGTGAAGGGCAGTAGCATGAAAGCCAGGGCATGGGTTGGTTTAATTCTTACTCTATCCAAAAAAGGTATGGCTCCCTGTATATTTATAGACGATCCTGCATAATTTTAGAGAGGATCCCATGATTTGGCAACCCCTAGTATCTAAAATAACTCTACCAAAATTAATGTGTGGGTAACCACGCTTTACAAGAGTGGGTCATTGTTAGTTGCTACTGTCCACATGTGCTACCAACCTACCGTGCACACTGCGATCAACAGTCAGCTTTTTTTAACTTTAAATAATCAAGAAATAGTTTTAAAAGCTGTGATATCTTCTTGTCAAACATGGTGTCGGTTTGGAAAAGAGTAACCAGTAATAAAACAGATTAAGCTCTGGTTTTGAAGTCAACAAATAGATCTTCCAAGAAGTATATGTTACCCAAACAAGCATATAACAATAGAAAAATATTAAAGCCCCAGCAAGGTCCTTAGATCTTCCACACAAATTGCCAACCAAAGATAACAAGGTTATGCCATTAAAATGATAAAACTGAAGATATTACAGCTAGAAATGTAACCTGTCACATTGGGTTATTACAGCAATATTAGGTATTCAGAACTCAGGTGAACCTTTTTGGTGATTACAAAATTGCAAGAGTAACAGGAGGCACTCAGCTAGTTGCTAAGATAGGATTTATAGCTTAATCATGGAGGACTGTTTAAGTCCTATTCTGCCAATGCAAAGCAATTAAGAAAACAAAGGAAATTCCATTGCTCATAGGTGAACGGGTTCTCCTATCAAACAGCCATCCCATAGCTATTTCTACCATTTCGAAAGAATCAAACGAACCCCCAATTGTTACAAAATAATGGAACCAAAAGGCCTGCACAAACTGATGCTTTGTGTATTTGAGAATTGAGATTTAAGTTCAGCTCTGCACTTAGTTAGCATTTGTTTTAGGGTTGAGTGAGCTTGTGCATGTAGGAGCATGTTAGTATGGCCTTTGTTAACTTTGTGGTGTTCCCATTTGATCTTCTGTTCCAAATATACTGCAAGTTTGAGAAAAATGGAAAAAATATCCAAAGCTTCAAATGAAGAATGTCACCAATCAACCCAGTATTTCAAAATGAATTAACACAATGAAGTATTCCAAAATGAATTGATACATAAAGTGGAAAAACTCATTAACAGGACAATGGAGTACATAAACCATACTGGCTTGGTGAACTGATTCAGCTGTAGATAAATCTTCCCCTTATCCATAAGAATCACCGTCTTGCTTTTTATTGCATGTGTGCTACTGGTAACAGATGCGATCACCCTAATTTGATGTGCGTGACAGTAAGGAAAACAATAAATGTCTAATGTTACAGTTGCCAAACAAAAATAGTATATTCTGAAGTAATCAAATAACTTAATCAAACCTTCCTTTGCTATCAGTGTCAACAATAATACGATTCTTTGATAGCTGTTCTTGAATTAGAATGACCTGAAAATTAATATGTCACAAGATCATTAATACACACAAGAAGGAACTACAAGAGCATTGAGCAGTTAATGGCCATAACTATGGTTTGCAATCAATCGTAGCACACGGAACACGGACCACATCAAACCAGCAAGAAAAGAAGAAAATTACAGCACTGTTTTCTGTTACCTTCTCCGTTCCTTTGACAACAAAGTAGCCACCAGGATCAAGAGGGCACTCACCTGGCATAACATATTGATGAGACCATTAAAACAGCAAGTAAGACAAAAGGTTACAATGTTTTAGTAATGAAAATATTTTTTTAGGGACAATAATTTAATATACCATATTTTGCTAGTTCAGCTTCATCCATTTCATTCAGAATACAGGCACAACTTCTTAGCATAATAGGCATGTAGCAATGATAAACTTATCCTGAAGAAAAAAGGAAAATAGAAGGCCAACTTAGTTACCAAATCAAACAAACAAAAGGGTTTTCAGTCAGATGGATAGGTACCCTTCTTTTCACTACATGCTGCTTTCCAACAGTGTATTGGATATCAACTTCTATAGGAGCAGAATAACTGAAACAATAAAGGAAATTTGAGCAAGCACGACAACTCGATAGGTCATATAGAATTTGAACATGCAGAAGCATGCGCTAGAAACATAAACCACCACTGTACCACCAAGATAGTCAAGCTATTGGTGTTCAACGGATCTACAAATGCCACCATTGATCAGCATGTCAAGCTTTCACGTTCCAAACCAAGAGCAATCCTCCCTTGGTGCTTCATGAAACATCTCCCACCACTATGCGCTATCATGCATAATGAAAAATTGACTGCCTACCTCTCTACCCATTCAAAAATTCCATCAAGTCAGATTGACTGAGTTTCCCACATCACTCTATCTTCAACAACCATCCTAGCATTCCACATGCCGTCCTGCCATGACTAAGGTTTGTGGCAGCCAAGTACTAGTGATTGTACCATCCTGGAACTTGGGTGTAGAAGCGACCACTTAAAGATGGCAACGGGAATTCCCGTCGGGGTTCAACCTCCCCATCCTCGTCCCCACGGGTGAAAATTTCCCCATCCCCGCTAAGACTCACGGGGACATTTTCTCCCATCCCGCTTCCCGCAGGGATTACGTACCCAACGAGGATCCCCATCCCGCTACAGGATAAAAGAACTGCTCAAATCGACAAACCAAAAGTGTACAAAATACTGAAAAAAAACTCATCTTGCAACAACATCAAACAAGATTGTAGTTTACAGATCACAAATCCGATTTACGGATTCCAACAATCCAACTCACTCCCTAGGTGGCCAAAATGTAATGCAGATCTCACGAATCACAAGTGAGATTGTTCAGCACCTTGAGTCCTTGACGTTGCCTTCCTGTAGAGTGCAGACCGGAGCAAAGAGAGAATTTGGGTCTTCGGACTGAGCAGAGAGTGAGAGAGAGAGCAGAGAAAGACTATGCAGTTTTCCTAGACGAAGATCGAGTATTCAAGTGCAGCGCCAGCAGTAGCGGTCACGCTGAACAGCAGGCGCATGTCCTCTTCGTGGCGCGCCGCGCGCATGGCGATGGCGACCGGGAATAGGGGCGAGGTTGGATGCGGGATTAATTTTCCCTAAGTTGTGGGTTAATTTTCCCTAAGTTTCTGTTGGGTGCTCTTTGTCGCCTATCCTATACTGGACTAGTTTCTTTGGCCTTGTGTCTCACATCCACAGATCATGTTAGCTGTGGAAGGCTAGTTGCTCTGGTCTTTTCCATGTGGAGTCATGGGTGGTGGTTTTTTCTCCCTCCTTTGTACTGTTCCTCTTTTCTCTCTTAGTGAAATGGTGCACAATTCTCTTGCATGTTCGAGAAAAAAAAGGGAAGGTACACAAAACAGGGCCAAAGAACGTCACCACGTCGGCAGGAAAGGAGACAAGGAAAGGAAAGAGCTAGTCAGGGCAACAGGCGGCTCACTAGAGGCAACAAGCAAGAGGAGAAGAATCTAGGACAACCATGAAGCTCTGGTACCATGTTAACAATAGCACATCTCTGTTCAATATGCCCTTAAGGCTAATATATAACTACAAGAACAACTCATCTCTGTTCAACATGCCTTTAAGGATAATATACAACTACAAGAGGTGTATGCATACACAAATACAAAGAAACATATATACATCGAAGGAAATGTAAACAAGTATATATTTACATCTAACATCATTAACATCTACAATAGGAAATTTGATGTGGACAGCCCCAATTATGTTAGGCAAGAAAACAATACCAGAGCCATAACAGTCCCACATAAATCTTTTGCTTATTCCATCTAGCTCAAATGATGTGTAACATAATTTCTCTTTTATTCTTTCTTAGTTTTGCAAGTACAAACTACAAACCGATGCAAATGAGGAAATGAATTTACGTTCAAAATATGAGGAAATGAAAGGCTTACGTGCGGTCAGTAAGGCGACAAAGATGTGGTGTGATAGATTCAACGTTACAATTTTCATATATCGAGGGCATGCCAACACGCACATCAAGATACCTGCAATGTGACCAACAAAATACATACTTAATAACAATAGTTAAAAATATAGTTAGAATACATATTACACAAATTGACGAGCATACCTAAGGTAAATGGATGGATCATTGCGCGCTTCAATTCGATTGTTTGCCTCAACGATCTTCTTGATTCCTTTGTCGACAAAGTAGTTAAATGAGTCAATGTGCTCCTTCACAAGCCCTCTAACCTGGTGTTTCCATCAGAGAGAGAGAAAAAAATAAATCAAAGCAACACGAGCTTCAAACTGAATAGTCGTTGGCACATAAAAAAAACATGTGCATGAGTTGATATTTGAGTCATGAATTAGACATAGATACAAGATAACCCAAGTATGGAACAGAGCAAGGAGCTAATTTAATCTGCGGCAAACAGAGCGAGGAGCTGAGATGTGCATACGACTGTAACAAACATGCATGGTAACAATAATCGGGTTAACACACGCCTACTGCTTGATCGCCCCGTGAATGCAGGGAGCATTAAAAACTGAGTGTGACAAAATTGTTGGACAATAAATCAACAGGCAGCACTGTTGAATGAGAACGTCATGCTGGCCTTGAGGAAGGCCGGGAGGAGCGCAAACTTGTCGACAGGCTTCCTGACCGGCGCTGCCAACGAATGGTAGGTCGATAATGGCATTGTATCGGCCACCTTGCCGCTGCACCATAGATGTCCAACGGGCCGGGCCGGCCCGATGGGGTCAGGCCGGCACGGCACGTCGTGCCTTCCGGGCCGTGTCGAGGCGGGCATCGTGCCTGACCTATGCCCAGGCACGGCCTGGGCCGTTTTTCGTGTCGGGCCAGCCCGCGAAGCACCGGCGAAAACAGCAGGCCGTGCCCGCCCGCGGCCCACAGAATGCCAACGCCCAACAGAGAGAGGGGAAGCGGACGCTCGAGGCCAGCCGCCGGCGCGCTCGAATCCGGCCGCGCGGGGTGCGGCCGCGCGATGGGGCGTGGGCCGGCCACCGGCGCGCTCGAGGCCGGTCGCACGGGGCCCGTCGAGGAGAAGGGCGGCCACCGGCGCACTCGAGGCCGGTGCTGGGGGCGTGAAGGAGGAGGGGAAGCGGATGCTCGAGGCCAGCCGCCGGCGCGCTCGAATCCGGCTGCGCGGGGTGCGGCCGTGCGATGGGGCGTGGGCCGGCCGCCGGCGCGCTCGAGGCCGGTCTCGCGGGGCCCGTCGAGGAGGAGGGCGGCCGTCGGCGCACTCGAGGCTGGTGCTGGGGGCGTGAAGGAGGCTCAAAGCCGGTGCCGGCGCCCTCGTGGCCTGCGGCTCAAGGCCGGTGCCCTGCGCCGGCGTCCTCACGGCCTCCGCGCTCGAGGCCGGTGCCCGGGGCGGCCGCGCCGGCTTCCTCACGGCTGCGCAAGTCGAGGAGAGGGAAGAGCAGACCCGCGAGAGAAGGGAAGGGATGCGGGAGGCGGCAGCGCGACGCGCGATGACCCGAGGCGCGCGACTGCTCGAGTCAGAAGCGGAAGACAACGGTGGCTGACAGGGAGTTGGAGTAAGGGAACTGGAATTAGATTATGACTAGGGGGCATCTATCATGCCTAAAGCTTTTAGCGGGCCGTGCCGTGCGAGCCCACGTGTCTGGGTGTGGCCCAGGCATAGCCCTGTATGTCGGCCCGGGCTGGGCCGGGCTCATGCCGGGTCAAAAAAATTGTGCTTCGGATTGGGCCGTCGTGTCTTGGGCTGTACGGACATATATACGCTGCACGAAGCAAAAAAAAAAAAAAGGTGAGGTGAGGGTTTGGAAATGTCGAGGCGGTTTGTGGTGGAGGAGGCGAGCTACCCTTCGCTGTCGCCTTAGGTCACTATCTAGCTGAGTAACAGATAACAAGTCAAATTGAAGAGAATACCAATCTCCTTGCTAAGCTAGTATTACTGCAGTTGTTATTAGTTCAAGAAGCCCAGTTATTTATCCTTTACTTTTCATATCTTCCTTCGCGATTTCAAACTGTGCTGTTATTTGGGTCTGTTTGTGGTTCATGTGCTTTCAAGTATAGTTATCTAGAAGGTTGTTTGCCGATTCTGGAGTGGTTTTTGCCGTTACAGATCATAAAGGGATGCTCACAATTAACTTGTGCTCTCAAAAATAGAAATAAATGATTACTTTCAGAAAGCACCTCAAGCCAAACAAAAACATAAGGTTGACAATTGATACAATGTAATACCAGTCCTTTTGCTACTTTGCGTTTGCATTTTATTGGCAGATCTTGAGTGTGTCGTAACCTTTGTGGTTGTGGCACAGAGCGCATATTGCCCTTTATTTGCTATACTTGAAACATTGTCGTGCTGACTGTTTATTACAAATTTACCACTATTTTTTATGTTGATTCATTTGATGTCATGATTATTCAGGAAATGGGGTTTTGAGAAACTCGTCTTCCGTAATTCGATCACTGGAGTCAGGCGAGATCGCAAATATGCAATCAAAGCTCGGAACGCATACTCCACAGGTGTACACATGTCCCAAAATGTCATCGGTAGGACAACCCACAAGACAGAAAGCTTGATCCGATACTACCATTACCACAACTCGATCAACGTCATGGGGGAGCCCTGCAGAGAATTCGTGCCGAAACCCACTAATGGAAGCAAGGTAATGTTTGAGGGGATACCATATGTCTATGATGACAACATGAAGCGCATGGCAGGGGAGATCAAACACTTCGAGGAGGAGACACTTGGAACCATCCGTACATAGGATTGGTGCAAAAGCATCGCTGGTACATATACAGTTCTATTATTTAGGATACCTTGAATCCATGCCCATCCATTCCCCGTGACTCAACTTGTGCACTTCGAGCCGCCATTCCAACAAGCAGAAGAAAAGAATCTATCTCGGGTTGAATTAGTGTAAAGTTTCAGTTTCCCTTGGCATTCTCCTGTCTGTGGAGGGCAATGCCTGGATGCTGCGTTTCCCCTTTTGTGTCTTTGATGTTGTTTGTATCTCATTATAGATTTGTCTAGACTGACTGTTGGGCTTTATTAGATTTTTCTGAAGTCTTATAGGGCGCAGTGTAAAGTGTCTGAATATTTGACTTAACCTCACTCTGGAGTTTGGATCTGAATGAAACTTTGTTCCTGGACAAACTGCAGCGCCAGTTCCCATGGCTTTTGTAAGGCTTTGGCAGTGGAGCATGAGGTTTCTTACAAAACAAAGGATCTTCTGTTATCTACACCTATCAGAATAGAGGACAACTCAGCTATGGTGAAGCAGGGTTTTTTTCTCAATGGTGAAGCAGTTTTTAACATGTACACTTTGTTAGATATTAATATTTCCATCTTTGCATTTCTCAATGGATGTGTTTGGGACTTCTTTATTAATATTTCCACCTTTGCATTTCTCTGCTCTAGCCGCTCGCCTCGGGCTATGATAGCAGCTGAAAATTGTGTAATCTTGCAACGTCCTTGGGACAATGGCCTTAATAAAGGACGTGCCTAGTGCAGAGAGCTAAGAGTTCTCGCTCTGTGCAGGGATCTGGGGAAGGGTATCAGTGGCAAACCTTACTTTCGGCTGTGCAATGCGAAGAAACCGCGACTCGAACCCGGGACCTTCCGATCATAGGCGATAAGACTCTATCGCTTACACCAGACCCGCCCTTCATGACAATGGCCTTAATGACTTGGCAAAACATGCCAGTATTCGGGAACCTGTCTCGAGAGCAACTCTCATTTGCTTGGAAGAAACAAAGATCCTAAACGAGATGGTCAGCCACAGACCAAACGGACAAATTCAGCGAAGGACATTCTTCAACTTAGAATCTGTCTTACTCCCTCTGTTCCAAATTATAGTTCGTTTGACTTTTTTTATCTCAAATTTGACCACTCGTCTTATTCAAAAAATTTGTACAAACATAGTCAAATTTAAGTCATTCTTGAAAAACTTTTGTTAATAAAGCAAGCCACAACAAAAGAAGTGATATTTTGGATAAATTTTTGAATAAGACGTGTGGTCTTGGAGTAAAAAAAAAGTCAAACGAACTATAATTTAGAACGGATTTAGTACAAACCAAATGCGCACGATTAGACACCAACAAAAGGAGTTTCCTCACGGAACTATTTACCAGTAAACAATCAACGTCTCTCCCATGTATCACCGATTAGCTCAAGAGACGAAATGCTCCAATTCGTTGCCCTTTGGACAACCATTGAAGAGGTCTCAACAAACCCATAACTGAAAGATGAAATATGGTGGCTATGGATGGCCGGTGTCAGCTACAGCAAAGAGTGCATACTCAATCCAATTCAAAGGAAGCTATTCTAGATTGAATTTATCCCTTATCTGGAAGGCGAAAGCAGAACCACGCTGCAAGTTTTTCACATAGACATTAATGCACCAAAAAATCTTGATGGCAAACAATCTACAAAAGAGGAGCTGGCCAAACAATCCTACATTGCATGTCTTAGAAACACACAAGCACCTTTGCAAAGATCGCCCCTTCACCAAAGAGGTCTGGACAATCATCCTGCCCTGGTTTGATCTTCGGCTTCTTCGAAATCTAGATCTATTGGGCACTATTAATAAAGTGTGGAGGAAAGCAAGGTGCACAATCTAGAACATGGAGCGAAGGAATTTGATGGCATTATAATTTATTTTTGGTGGAACATTTGGAAAGAGCACAATTAAATAATTTTTCAAAATGCATCTTTACAACCTTTGTAGCTCGCTCTTCTGATTAAGGACATTGACCTTTCCAAACTGATCTTCCGTCAAAATGTTTCAACATAGACGGTTTGTTCTCTTTGTTCTGTTCAAAGCGGACCATTTTCTGGTGTACGGGGCCCAATTTTCATCTAGCCGGGCTGTATGTTGTGTTTAGGGATGAAAATGATCCCGGGGGGATCCTCTAACCACTTTTGATTTTATATTTTTATGCAAAAATAAAATTGGAATCTAGAGTGCCGGTCAGGAAAACGCAAAATGAAAAACTCGGGATACCGGAAACAAAATAATCCAGCTGATACAAGTCGATAACAATTGGGAACGGGTAAATTAAATCGAGAAGATAGATAGACCATACGAATAATAACTGTTTGTAACATTTGTCTTGCCATCTTGGCACATATTTTACTTTCACTTGGTATATACGTATAGAAAATAAAATAGGGCACATTATTATTAAGTTGTTCTATAGAAAAAAGGAAAACAAAAGCAAAGAACCATAAAGAAAAAATAAAATAGAAAAGATAATAAATACACTAGAGGACCTTAACTACTTTGATTTCTCGGGCACACTTACCTTGTATGGATATACAAAGTATTTTTGGAGTTTTAGAAAAATACTATGATATTGTGAAATACTTTGGTTTTAGAGTGCCAACAAGTATTTGGGTGCAACAAACTTTATGCTTTTGAATACCATGGTATTGTTGAAACTGTAGTCTTTTTTGAGTTTTAAAAACTCCACTCTAGACCTCTTTTCTTTTAAACTACAATTTTGCACATCAGTGGTTCTAAAACTACGGTTTCTTGATACTATCGTTTCTTAATATTATAACATCCAAAACAAGGCCAACCTCATCCAAGCATTCGGTGCAACAGACGTGCATGTATGTCCAGCTGGCCAGGCGGGCATACAGTACCTTTAGGTAGCGTTTGGTTGGGAGACGAGGTGGGGTGGGATGGTCCTGACTCTAGTTCGTGGGATGGGATGAATCCATTTTCTGTTTGGTTTATGGGATGAACCCATTTTCTGTTTGGTGCGGAGACATGAAAAGTGAGATGAGCAACAGATAAGTGGAGCCCACTTGTCATTTTTTTTTTTTTTCCCCTTTTCTCCCCCTCTCTCTCCTTATCCTCTCGTCCCCAACAACCGCTCGAACCAGGTGCGTATTGCGGCGGCTCCATCGCCGAGCATGGCGCAACTCACCTAAGCCGCGTGCTACCCCGCCGGCGAGACTGGCCACGCGCCGCCCGGCGCCTCCTCCACGGCGTGGCAAGGCCGGCCCTAGAGCTCTCGCCTAGGACCTTTGCTCGGCTCACCGAGGGCGGAGTTCGCCGGGGTCGAGCATGACGACGCGAGGCGTGGAGCTCGTGCTCCCATGGCCACTAGCCGAGGGTAGAGCTCGTCAAGGCCAGGCACGACGGCGCCAGGGGGCAGAGCTCGTGCTCCCATGGGTCGCGCGCCCCTTCTTCCTCGACTTCGGCAACTCCGGTGAGTCCTGCTTCTTCCTCCTTCCTTAACTGTGGCGAACCCCGGCTCCTCTTCTCGTTCTTCTAACGTGCGGCACTCATGACTCGTCCCACCGAGGACACTCCCGTCCGCGGTTTATCTAGGGGCGAAGCGAGCCCGGATCTTGGGCGAATATTCGCTCGTGGGACGTCCTCACCCCTAGTTGCCTCCGAACCAAACGGCTGTCATCCCGGGGCCATCCCATCCCATCCCTCCTCATCTCGCCCTTTACCACCATAGCATCACAAGTTCGCAACAACAGATAACACCCTGCGCAGATTAGTCCCACCCTGCTGAGCGAAGAGCGAACCGGCGATGGCTGCCTAGGTAGGTTAAAATGGAAATCTCAATCAAAGGATTGGAGAGCAGGAAAACTTAATTGTGTGGTTGTGCCTTGGCACAGAGCAAATGATAATAAAGGTTTCTTGGATAGCATCTCTAAGAGTTCCCTAAACCCCTTCCTAATCATTGGTTTTTAACAAGATGAGAAAAAACCCCTCTCCAGCAACTCCTAATCCATCCTCCTAATCTTTTGAAACTTAGAAAAATCACCCTGTTCCGCGTAAAGTCATACGCTTCCGAGTCGCGCGTATCTTCTCTCCCCGCGCGTGTTTATTGGCCAATCTAAAGGTGGAAGGGCACGGAAAGAATAAAGATTAGGAAAGGGTTCCTGATGCAAATGTACGAGAAAGAATATATAAAAGTGGTTAGGATAATTTAGAAATAGTATATGATTCCTAACGTAAAATTATCTTTTATATTTTAGGAGTGGATTATTAGAAAATATTAGTGTCGGGGATCTAATACTGGGATACCCAATGAGGTAGAGTTGATAAGCACCAACGACATTCCCAATCGAACAGGAGCGCAACGACTCCGCCTCGTCCGACCCCCGAGGGCCAGACTCCGCCTCGCTCGGCCCTCGAGGGCCAGACTCCGCCTCGCCCGGCCCCCGAGGGCCAGACTCCACCTTGTCCGACCCCCAAAGGCCAGACTCCGTCTCGTTCGACCCCCAAGGGCCAGACTCCGCCTCGTCCGACCCTCGAGGGCCAGACTCCGCCTCGCCCGGCCCCCGAGGGCTAGACTCCGCCTCGTCCGGCCAACAAGGGCTAAGCATCGCCTCACCTGACGCCCTCACCCTGCCCCTCCATGATGGCAGGAATAGGGTAAGATAGGATGTTAGAGTCAAACAACGGAAGCAAGGACCATGCCCTGCTCTACTGACAAGTACCATCGAAGCACGACAGGACGAGCGCTTTAGGCCCTGCCGGACATGACAGAGCCTGAGTAGTACTGTAGGCGCCGGGTTTTACGGCCTACAGTATTGCGGGCGCCGCCTTCAACCCTCGAGCACGGAGCCTGACACAAACACCGCAATAGGACTCACGTCCCCGATGCTGACAAGCGTGCGGTTGCCGCACCGTTCGCCCCCCACAGTATCGCAGGCCGACACTCCTGCCCGACACGCCACCCGCAGAGGCGGGATGGGACATGACCACTTGCAGAACGCAGCATCATCAGCACACAA